ACGTTAAATCTCCAAAGTAAGTAAGTAAGTAAGGGTTATGTTTATATAGTTGGATAATGGGGATTAAGGTTTGTTTACATTGATACTTAGACACCAAAATGAAGTCATAGCTTACATGGCGTTTAGATTAACATTATTTCAATAAAGATAATTATTGAATGTTTTGGTTTACGTGACAAAGTATTTATGGTTTAATATTTAGGTGATTTAGAACATTGCAATGATATTATATTTTGATATTTTGTGCATTAAAGTATATTTTATCAATAACTACCATTAAAGGTTTTCTAACATTTTATTTTTTTTAGTATAAGCATTATTACAAGACTTATGTTCATATTTAATGCCCATGATACAGTTAAGGAGCTTGCTGTTGAGTTTAGTGTTTGGTACATGTCAGATTCCTCACGAACATCAGTATGGTGTGACTATTGCTGGTTTTGGGAGGTTGGCTTGTGTGATGTATTTGATGATTCTGAGGTTGTGGTTTTTTTTGACTGGGCATGTGTATTGTGTGGCTGTATGTCTTTCGGCTTTGGAGTGTATACAGAAGGGGGCCCATGTGCATTCAGTAGCTTCGTGTCTGTGTGATCTACATTTTGTGATCTGACTTGTTGTGTTGGGATGAGTGGCAGATGTTGCATCGTGTGGTTTTTTTCTGATGGGGTGGACTTTGTATGTAAGGGCACCGAAGGTTAGGTGAGATGGGAGTGGGAGTGTCTTAAAGGTTTATAATAGTGTTAGTGTTGTTGGTCTACCATTTGTGGATTGTTTTTTATTAATGCTTTTGAAGTGGATTATTTGGATTTGGGAAGGTTGTGTGTTTGATATTTGTATGTATTCTTGTATGTCTAGTCCGAAATCAAAGGGGATTAGGTTTGTTTTATGTGTTAATTAGACCTGGAAAATGCTGTTTACTGGAGATGGGTGTAGGAAAGAGTGATGTGGAGTGCCATGATAAATAATGAACAATGAAAAATGAAAAGACTTAGCAGATTGAGGGATAAGAGTAGACGCCAAGATGGTGGTGGGCTGGGCTTGAGGAGGAGCTATGGCGGCTGTAGAGTAGGTACATTCGTCCCTTGCAACGCATCATCCATGCGTCTGGTCCATCTGCAGAAGTCCCTTATAGCTACCAAGTGGGGTGCAGCTCACCGTACATCTTCCACGGGCCTTTACAATCACAAGTGGACAGCCATTGAGAATTTTTGTCGTGCTTCAGATAAGCTTAAAAGACTCCACTTAAAAAGGCTCCATAAAGACTTTGAGACACTGATCACGCTTTGATCACACTGAAGACAGTGTTTATATTGACCTTGGCTGCTGCAGCTTGTGTTAGCGAGATACACGCTTGATGTCACCAGGGTTAAGTTTGAGGGATCTGCAGGGTTACCTAGGCCTAAGGGGAATTTCTAGCAAAAAATCAGCTTCCGGCCAATTTGATCGTCTATTTACTAATCCCCTTCCTACATCAATTTTGAGATTGGAGATGACCATGAAGATCTCTCCCTTTGTTCAGTTCGAGCACTTGGTCTGTATCTGGCCGCTTTTGTCACTGTAGACACTCATGGAAAAGATTCTGTTGACTGCCTCCATCACTGAAAATTCCCGTACCACCCTCTCTTTTTGGCTTTGCTCTATCATGCTTTGGGAGTACACTTGGCTGGGCTGCCTCCACCTGCAAAGTCCAACCCTCATGAGAAGGGTTGCTTCCACAATGGCCTTACACATTAATTGCACCCTCTCCGCGATCATGGAAGGGTGCTTCTGGAAGTCAGACACAGTGTTCACCTCTCATTACCTCCGCGACATCTGAGTCACTGATGTCCAGGGTCTCTACAAGTTCGGACATTTGGTTTTTGCACAACAACTGTCACACCGCAGCAAACACAGATAGAAATGTCATATACACATGTTGTATTTTTTATACGAAAGTGTATACATAATAAATCTTTAAACATTAACTTTGGTATTGAGTGTTTTTATATTGTTCGGGTTTCTCAGACCAAGTCACTTTTGGAGGGTGTATTAACTTGCCTGTAGAGACTTTTTAGCCATTCCTTTAATTGAACCATGTCCCAAAACCTACATTCTACATCATTCTTCCTTGAGTATTTGTGATGTAGGCTTTTGGTTTCGAATATCCTCTCTATGGATGTTGTCGATCAATTCAATTCAAGACACCGAAACAGTCGCACCACACTGTCTATAGGAGATGGCTCCGACCTGTTTGAAGAATTGAAACCGGTCCAGAAATAAATGCAAAGAGTGAGATGGCATAAGTTTTAAAATTTAGAAATTTTAGTGTAATTGTATGTTTATATACTTATCCAATCTCACACTCGATATGCCAACCTTACCATCTCCACATCTCAGTTCCTCTCGCCTGATAGCTCTACAAAAGAGAATGAGTTGGTAGAGAGATGCACATGGTCAGATCCTGGAAGGGGTTACCGTGCACAGAGCACGTAATTGACCCAGTTGTTGGCCATAACCATAGAAATGCTGGTGTGTTTTCGGGTGACTGGGTTTCCACATAGCATTGTCAAAGAAGATATGCAAAGTGTGAGATAGGATGAGTATTAAATATCAAATTTAAACTCAAATTTCCAATTTTTTGTTCTATAAACAAATATCTTCTATTAACCTGATGTATTGAGAATGCTGAACTTGTTCTCCTTATTATGACATCATATTTTGTAAAATTATCAGGATTTTATTTTGTGTTTTGTAAAACAATTATTCCTATGGGTATATAAAGCTAAGAATAGATATTTTGTGTACATTGTAACAATGCAATAGTACATTCATTCTTTGCAGATTTGTGGGGACATGGTTGGCCCAGTCATCTGAGGCGCCACAATTAGCTGTGCAGAGTTGCGTCCCTTTGGCAGAAACCCATGATTGTGGGTTTGAATCCCGTTTTACCCTGATTATGTTTCTCCCAATGCTCATGGTTTTCACCAAAGTGGTAAATGTCAGAGACCTGCATCACTATTGGTTTTTCCCCCCATTAAGCTTACAAGCCGTGAGATAACTGGAATACTGTTCAAAGGGGCGTTAAACCCAACTCAATCACATTGCAAACATTGAAGAATACTTATTACTTGTTTCATATTTGTTACTGTATGTCGCCATGACTCCCACCTATAAGGTTGTAGAAAAACATCTCTGATGCACTCCTTCTACAACACTTCCTAATAGCTGTAAAAAGAAAAAGAGAATTTATTGGATATTGGGAATTTCTCAAGTTAAGAAAATGTTATTTCATTTGTGGTTACATTTGTCTACTTTGCAGATTATTTTTCAACACAACCATATAATTAAATAGTTATTTAAGGAAACAATAGAAATTCAGTGCTTATTTTAATAAAATACATATATAGAGGTTTTCACATGTGTTTGGGGATGGTAAATATCCTGTATTAGGAATAAACATTGTATTTATCAAACCTTGGCAACCTAATACATCATGTTTATTCCTAATACAGGATATTTACCATCCCCAAACACACAAGCGTGATAACCTCTTAACTATAAATATAAAAGAAAATGTCACTCTTTAATTCTGTGCTCGAAAAATCTCTTTCCATCTCTCAGAAACATTGCCTAAACTTTGCAAGTTTTTCTGGAATGTGCGCATTAATATATCATACGTCAGAAGGTAAGTGATGTATCAGTCGGACAGTGTCAACACTCAGTATATTTCCAGCAGAAACCCGTTTCTTATAAAGTGACATCATATAGTTGCAAAACAACAACTGCCAACACAAATTGTTTCTACTTGTGTATTGCGGTAGTCCATTGGTCTGTCTGCTCGAGTAACTGCCCTTCATCAAAGGGAAGCTACTCTAACCCTAGTCTATGAGATGTCACATATTTGTTTAGAATCTGCGCGTCCTGTCATAATGTTACAAAATCTGGTCAGATACACACATAGTGACAAAAGGGAATAAGGTAACACTACAGACATAATTCGGCCAGTTTAAAGAATAGTATTCCAAATTTCATTCAATATTGCTAACATTCATTCACTGTTATACAGTCAAGTCCCGTTAATCCGACATGGTTGGTTGCATATGTTGATTATGTCAGATAAACGAAATTAAGTAGTACCAATGTTTGTGATCTAAAACCGGCAACTACAGATTGATAAGGATACAAACATTTTGCAATAACAAAATGAAAAATGAAATATTCATATTGTCATGTTACATTGTTAGCAGAATATGTCTTCTATACATGCAACCTCTAAAGCTAAAAGCTAAATAGCACTGATTTAATCGGTCCCCATCATTAGTGTCAGATTAACGAGTGTCGAATTAACGAGACTTGACTGTATGTCAACATAAAGTTTTCGCTATTGCGAACACGGGAGCATTGATTGTGATTCGTCAAATTGTTCCATACAAAAATGTCCAGCAATAGCGATCAGCTGTACCAAAGTACATATACTTTGTATGCTTCAGGCTTAGTTTACGAGACAATAATCTTAATCTTAATCTCTGCATATAAAAACAATGCCAAGCAGAACAGGAATTACAATTTAATTGGTAAATCATCATGTCAATTTTAAATTTGTATTGACCAAGTTTAATTGATATGATCTGTTTGTTTCCCTGAATTCGCTGAAGGGATAAGATGTAATGTTTTTCTACGGAAAACAAACATTTTTTATTGCAAATATAGGGATTGTGTATGCACTGGTGATGTACTTCATTCCGATTCCCTATATAGACAGGGTATATAAATAAGCTTCAATTTTGAAGGCTTGTACAGGGGAGTTGCCTTATCGACGGCAATAAATGGTACATTGGTAGTTTACTGTTCTCACATCAAAGAGACAACATCGCACAGCAAAGAAACTGCCACACTATCCTTACTTGATGGCTCCTTTCAAAATTTATCAATTTCAGCTTCAGCTTTTCCATTATTCTTTTTTTATGTTTTCTGCAGTTTTATGTCAAGTGATATCAGCTTGTTTCTCTTTGTCATTTTAGATGCGTATGATCTTAAACAAGCTTGTTGCCAAGGAAGCAGCAATTGATGTCCTTGTGAATGTTGGACTTTGGCGTACAGCGGGGTGTCATGAATTCCTGGCTTCTTTTGGTAACTACCTATTACAGACTTTTATATCACTTGTGATGGCTACCTGCCTTTGGAACCTCACCATTTATTGATATATTTCACCAAGTAACATAAGGTGTGTGACAACCTGTTTACTATCTTGCTCAAAGACTTGTAAGAAACCATCACCCAGCTTCAGTTCGATCCCTAGATCAAGTTCATGAACTGCAATTGTAGTCTGTAACAACTGTAAACACAAAACATATATGCTAGATGAGGTGTAATGGGGTTTACTGATTTATTGCATTTATATAGGGATATGCGTGCACAAGAGTGTGTGTGTGTGTGTGTGTGTGTGTGTGTGTGTGTGTGTGTGTGTGTTGCTGGTTTCATAATACTAGCCCACTGAGATAGCAAGGCCAGTTTAACAAGGATGCCCCAATTTGACACATTATATTGACTTTGTGCCAACCGGTCCTTGTTTTATCAGCCAAGTGCCAAATACCAGGCATGGTAAGAACAAGTACCATCTTTTAACTTCTCTTGGTGTGATGCAGCCAGGAGATTGGACCACCAAACTTCCACTCTCCAGACTAATGCTCTATCTGCAAGGCCACAGAGGCGATCACCATGAATTATCAGACGCCAACAAATATAACAGCCTGAAGAGAATTTTGAATGATCAGTCAAAGAGCATTGTAGTGTGTATGACCAAGTAAAAAGGTTACCCTATGTACTACTATTAGTTAGGTCTTTGAAAGGCATTTAGAAGTGATACATATAAGGAAGAGAATATATGGATGTCAACTTCTTTATTATGAGGAATACAATGTTTTGGAGTATATATTCTCTTCCTTACTATTAGTTAAGCTGCAACTAATACACAAAAATTGCTGCACTATAAATTTGCTAATGTGGTGGCACAGGTCTCAAATCTGGTTAAATTGAGCATCACAGGTGGCAGAGAGTAGATTGATTTCATTACTGAGCAAGTTGATTCCTGATAAATTATTTTATTCTATCAAAACATGGTCACCTCAGTGGCCTTTTTAAGGAACCCATTAATGAATATAAATCAGCCACCTTTTTTAAATATCTATTGAAATTTGGCACAGGTGGAGTTTGTAGTGGGGCCTTATATGTGTGTTCCATTTTTGTGATATTATGAATTTTTACCTTGATTCAGCCTTTACAGCATTATAGTTGGTGTCACTAGAGTGATATGCTATCATGGACAATATAAATGAAAGTTGTTAAAAATTGGAAGAGCATATCTCAGACCCCACTGTAAACTTGCCTACCATCATGTTCATTGGGCCAAGGCCCAACTCTTTCTTGTGAGGGACTGCTTATTACTGGTAAGTACATGACTAAGTGACCCCCAGTAACCCTGATACTGACCTTTGCAGGACCATTGCACTTTTACAATCCTATTTTATATTCCTCTCTGCTACTGCTTGACTGACGATTGACGAGGCTGACATTTGACAGGCAGACTTCTTCTCTTAAAGATATCTTATGTCAGTGTGATTTATTGTAAGTTTGTAATTCTTGTGAATAACCTACCTCTATTACATCATAGCCATAAATCCTGTATTTTGGCTGTCATCACACTATTAAATTTCAGATTTTCAACAGAAGTGCTCTTCACTGTCGACTATCCATAATCATTTGTGCAAGTAATTGTATCTTGCTACTCTTACCTCATTTGCATATGTGAGGTTGGAAAATCTTACTTCTTTCCTCTGTGTGTTCTTGGCAACAATGAAATAAATTCTAAGTTGACACAGCACATTATATTTGGTAGCTGTTACACTATTATTAGATCTTCAGTAAAACAAAGATTATTGTTGTTATTATCCTGAGATCCAGCTGAAGAAAATTATTTTTTTGTTTACCTTAGTCTCCCCAGAGGTGTTTGTCAATAAATTGATTTAGGGGCTTAAAATTTCAGGCAAATTGTTTATGAGCTGGTGGAATTGAATATTTTACAACGAAGCTATACAGAAATATGAGAACCATGATGTCATTACTCAGTGATTCAAGATCGCTGATTGCTTGATTAAACAAGATATGCACTTAAGGAATGATTTGTATTTGGTGACGTTCATCAGTTGATGAAGACAGTGCCTCATGTGAGCAAATTTACCATGATGCGTAAATTATAACAAAACAATCCATTAAACATCAAATTTAAACTATTTAAAGCAAACTATATCAACGTGGGGACTCGTGACGTCATCCATCCCAAAAATTCCATTTGGAGTGACATCCCTTGGTTTTACAAACTGCAGAAAATGGCAGCTACGGCAATGTCATTCACTTGAAATAAAAGTTGCACCCAGTAAGAGTTTGAAAGAAATCCAGACCTGGCTGATGCTGAAAATTGATTGTGAACTTTGGGGTGTGTGTTTGAGTCATAACACAGCTGCTGATGACGGGGTTTACCTCTTAGAGTCTTGCGACGCTGTGGTAAACATTATTCGGATGCTTGTGTTGTTGAGAGAGACTCCTGGGGTGGTCCGAGCATCATGGTGTGGGGTGGAATTGGTCTTGCACAGAAGGTCGGCCCTGTGGTCTTCTAGAACATTGGTCCAGGGAGAGGCAATAGTGTCACAGCAGCTAGGTACATTGATCAAGTCTTGAGACCACACGCCATACCTCATTTGGCACATCACCACAAGTTTCAGCATGATAACGCCCGTGCCCACACTGCGAGAGCAACAAGAGACTTTCTCCAGCAGAATGGCATCAGAACCATGCAGTGGCCTGCCCTCAGTCCCCATTTTTAATCCCATTGAGCACCTGTGGGACGAGATTCAAAGACGGCTGAATGATGTCCGACCAAGGCCAACAACTGCAGCTGAACTGCGTCAGGTATTCCTCAGAGTGTGGGCTCATGTGCCTCATCCATTCCATGTATCAACGTTGCACGGCAGTCATCAATGCACATGGCGTACACACGAGATACTGACTTGTGATGCCATTTATCAGAGATTAATGTTGTGTTTCACTTTAAGAACATTTGACACTTTAATTTCAACCTTGATGATCAGTTTTCCCAAGTTTCATCTTTATAATATATCTCAAAGTATGTTTACAGTGTTTGGACAAATACGGTTTCTCATATATCTTTCCATGGTTATGTTTCTTTCGCAGTTCAGTATATTTATGAACCTCTATTTTTTTTGGAGAGAATATTTTGACAATATATTTCTGACAATGAGTTCTTGATATGCCCAAAATGTCTCAACAGCACAACTTGCATTCCTTTTTCGGGGAAGGAAAACTTGGCCCTTATCATAAGTGACAAATGAGTGATGAAGAGAAAAAGGACCCAAAAATGGGAGTATGAAAAAACAGGTCAGGTATGAAAGTTTCTTACAAAATGATCAGTTCAGTTTCTTTGGCTAGTGAAATTTGAAACTGGCTGATAACTTCTGAGGCTAGCTGGCTCACTTTACCAGCAATGTTTTGGGACTGTCACACACTGAAAACAGGTATGAAACTAGATTATCTGGATATGGCTTAACTATTGTTCTTTAACTCAGATATATTTCCATTCATTTAACAAATAACATAATGATAAGTCAATATTAAAAAGACAATGAAACCAACAGTGTACCAACATAACAAAATTTAGATGGTTTGTTGCTACATCTTGTGCAAAGAACACAATTAAATTGTAATAGCTGATGTCTATGATGTGGGATCTCAAGACATAGTGAGCAAAATATGCATGATATTTTGAAGCAAGAGTTAACTGGAACAAAAATATACTGTAAATCTTGAAATTAATGTGTCTCCAAATTAATACGACTGCTGACCCCTAGCCAAAACTGCAACTCCATGACTTGACTTGACTTGACTTGACTTGATTAAACACAAATAGCACCGCTTATCAGCACTGAGTAGAGCACTTCTGTAAAAACAACACACAGTTTATATGTTTGTTCTCTCATCTGGCATTAAGAAAGTTCATAGGCAATAAAATAATTGAACCAACAACAGGCAGATGACAAGACAAACACTGTAGATCTGAGGAGTGTGAGGAATCCTCACAGTGCGCATGGGTCATGTCAGCCTCTGATGAAGCGTTGCATGGGTGGCGTCTGTCTGGACTGCTGGAGTAGTATAAGTAATGGGGATTCTGGACCACTTCCACTGGAGCCAGATTTTTATACCTATACTGCTACTACAGAGGGAATTTTTTATGCAAAAATGATGATGCGATTCAACGATCGTCATGATTCGTGTTAAAAGAATCATCAATATTAATTAATAATGGATAAAATTTACTATAGCCCACGAGGATATTGGAAAGGTATAGGAGCAGTACAAAAATTAGCCACTGCTGCTAAGGTATCTAAAGATGTGGGCAAGGATTGGTTAAAGAAACAAGCGATGTGGCAAATATATTTACCAGCACCGCGTTATATACCGAGGAAGAAGTTTGATATTTTTACAACGAATGAAGTTCATCAGGCTGACCTCTTGTTTCTTCCCCATGATAAGGTAAAACGCAAAACATATAAATACGCTTTAACGGTAGTGGATGTGGCTAGTCGCTACAAGGAGGCTGAACCATTAACCTCGAAAGATTCAACAGAAGTAGCTAATGCACTGAGCCGCATATATAAACACGGACCACTAAAATGGCCTAAGTTATTTCAAGTAGATCCCGGTCGTGAGTTTATGGGATCAGTAACTAAACTGTTAACAAAGCACAATGTCACAATCATCACAAAGAGGCCCACCGTAGTCAAGCTATAGTTGAAAGATTTAACCGGATATTAGTGGAACGTTTGTTTGGTATTGAAATGAAATCCGAAAGATTAAGATCAACCGAATGGGTGACACGATTATCAGCTGTTGTATCAGCGCTGAATAATGAAGTAATGAGATTAATCGGGAAGAAACCATCTGATGCAATTAAAATGAAATCTGTGACTTCTGAATCATCAGCACCCAGGAGAGGTAAAGAACAAAAACTTCCGGATAGAGTTGGTGTAAAATATTTATACCAGCCCGGTGAACTCGAA